AACAGTTTTTCCTAAAGAAAGACACAGGAAAAATCTTAAGGAGCTTATAACTTTTATGGGATCCAGTCCTAAAGTAGATTAGACCGATGTAGAATCCTGTCTGGAGACGTTCTCCCCTTCAATTCAATGGGAAGGCTCTTTTCTGGCATGAACTCTCCGATGTCTAATGAGTTCTGAGCACCATCCATAAGCTTTCCCACATTCTTTACATATAAAAGGTCTCTCTCCACTGTGAACTCTCCGATGCTGACTGAGATAGGAGCTTTGACTAAAGGCCTTCCCACACTCATTACACTCATAGGGCTTCTCTCCTGAGTGAATCCTCTGATGCTGAACAAGATGAGCACCCCACCTGAAGGCCTTCCCACATTCGTTACATTCGAAGGGTTTCTCTCCTGTATGAATTCTCTGATGCTGACCGAGGTTTGAGCTCTGTTTGAAAGTTTTCCCACAGTCACTACACTTATAGGGTTTCTCTCCAGAATGAACTCTCTGGTGGACAACAAGATGTGAGTTATAAATGAAGGTTTTACCACATTCACTACATTCATGCTCTTTCTTCCCTGTGGGAATTTCCTTATGGGTGACAACCATCTGCCTGAAACTTTTCCCCTGGGCAGGGGACCACCTCAGTGTCTCCGCTTTGGGATTTCTCTGCTGCGGTTGTAAGGTACCCTCAGAGGTAGCTTCAAATGTAGAGGTGTCAGTAGCAAGTTTTTCTGAGAACACCTGTGATTCCGCTTCAGTAATGGGTGGTTGTGGCAATGATCCTTTGTCCTTGGGCTCTGGGCCATCTTCTGTAACAACTGACAGAAAATGTAAATACACCTGTTCTGGATGTATGAAGAAATGACACTTAGATTAAAATTTACATTTCTGGAATGAAAAAAAATACTTAAAAACTACTATATATATGACAAAGACTGGAAGAATATTTACTTGGATATTACCAATGGTTAACTCTTGGTGATGGGACTATGTTACAGAGGAGAGGGTTTCTGCTTTTTAATTTCTCCCATTTATCTGCTTTTTTTCCCCTAATTTCTCCATAATGAAGCACTAAAGAAGTTTTATTGAAAAAATGAAGGCAAGCCGGACGCGGTGGCTCACGCCTGTAATTCCAGCACTCTGGGAGGCTGAGGCAGGCGGATCACGAGGTCAGGAGATCGAGACCATCCTGGCTAACACGGTGAAACCCTGTCCCTACTAAAAATACAAAAAATTAGCCAGGCGTGGTGGCGGGCGCCTGTAGTCCCAGCTCCTCGGGAGGCTGAGGCAGGAGAATTGCGTGAACCCGGGAAGCGGAGCTTGCAGTGAGCCAAGATCGCGCCGCTGCACTCCAGCCTGAGCGACAGAGCAAGACTCCGTCTCACAAAAAAAAAAAGAAAATGAGGCCAATTGACAATATGCCATGCTCTTTTTTTTAGGGATTTTTCATATTTTCAAGGATCAGGAAGTTGATGCGTGTGAAGAAGGGAAAACGGAGAATCATCAGGGTTAAGGAAAGGGAGGTTTTTAACAAAAAAGGCAAAAAACGTGCCCTTCCTGGCTCTGCCAACCTTCACCTCTGCAACCATCCATTTTCCCCCAGTGCATAAAATCTATAGTCTCTTTACAGGAATTCCTAACTAACTGCTTCCTTTACCAAAAGACTTCAGCTCCCTGCTCCTAGCGCTTGGTGCTTCTGCCCTTTCTCTTCCTTAAAAGGGAAAAAGAGTGCGTTGCCTTTTTGTTTTAAATGTCCATAGCACATTTTATGTTTTATCTGTTGTAACACTCCCTATAGCCTAGAGACAGAAACCAATTGCTTTAAGATAACTCAATGTTCATTTGACTTTTTTTTTTTTTTCTGTCACCCAGGCCTGGAGAGTGTAGTGGCATTATCTTGGCTCACTGGCAACTTCCGTTCCCTGGGTTCAAGTGATTCTCAGCCTCAGCCTCCCCAGTAGCTGGAGTTACAGGCGCGTACCCACCACACCTGTCTATTTTTGTATTTTAGTAGAGACGGGGTTTCCACCATGTTAGCCAGGCTGGTCTTGAACCCCTAACCCGAAGGTGGATCTGCCCTGCCTCAGCCTCTTCAAGCTGCTTGGATCTATAGGGTGTGAGCCACTGTGCCCCAGCCAAGAACATTTGATTTTGTTTTTTTTTTTTTTTTTTGGAGACGGAGTCCGCCGTCTGGCCTCCCAGGCTGAGTGCACGTGGCCGGATCTCAGCTCACTGCAAGCTGCCGCCTGTCCCGGGTTTTCACGCCATTCCTGCCTCATAGCCTCCTGAGTAGCTGGGACTACAGGCTGCCCACTCCGCAGCCGGCGCTGTAGTTTTGTTGTATTTTTTAGTAGAGACGGGGTTTCACCGTGTTAAGCCAGGATGCGTCTCGCACTTCCTGACCTGCGTGATCCCGCCCGTCCGCCTCTCCAAAGTGGCTGGCGATTAACAGGCTTGAGCCACCGCCGCCCAGCCTATATTTGATTTTCTTAAAATTCATTTTTTGCAGGTCTAATGTTTGGGTTAAAGCAAATCTGAAATATGCTTGCTATAGAGAAAAAAAATCACACAATAGCTAGCTTCTTTTTGAAAGTAAAGTAATAAAAGTGATAAATGAATACAGGCTTACTAAACAGAAGTAAAGGAGACAAGAAAAAGTCTGAAAAAAAGGCAAAGAAGAAAGAAGAGCTAAGAAGTAGAAACATACTTTTGGGACAGAATCTAATTAATCTCCATTTCTATTTTTTCCCATTTTGTAACTAACAAGAATTTGATTTTTTCAAATGCCTTCGTTTGGTGATAGTGGTGTCGGGGAGGGGTTATGGTGTAAAAGCAAATATCAAGTAGACTCTTTTTGGTTAGCAGCATATTCACAATACGGTCACGATGCTACAGAGGTCAACAAGGAGAGTTCACACTCCTGAGGCTCTAAGTCTAGTGTTTGCCACTGGCAGAGAGGAGAGGTTGTTTGCGGGTATGTATGCAGGCCAAGAAGGAAGTTGCTGTAGTGAATCTGAAGGGTAGAAGGTGAGGGCACACATAAGAGAGTTTCAAATAGGGCTGTTTTTTTTTTTTTTTGAGACGGAGTCTCGCTGTGTCGCCCGGCTGGAGTGCAGTGGCCGGATCTCAGCTCACTGCAAGCTCCGCCTCCCGGGTTTACGCCATTCTCCTGCCTCAGCCTCCCGAGGAGCTGGGACTACAGGCGCCCGCCACCTCGCCCGGCTAGTTTTTCTTATGTTTTTTAGTAGAGACGGGGTTTCACCGTGTTAGGCAGGATGGTCTCGATCTTCTGACCTTGTGATCTGCCCGTCTTGGCCTCAAATAGGGCTGTTTACATGAGGAAGAGGTGGTAAAGGTGATGACAGGCTGTATCTCACATAGGAGTGCTCTATGGCTTAAAAAGTGTGTTTTGCGAGGCCTCAGGAGTTAAAAAAAAAAAAAAAGGATCTCAAGGCTGGCCTCTAGCTCAGGGCAGAGTTATTATAGACTAGGAGTTAAGTGCAGTGAAGATGATAAGGCATAAGTGAATGAACTATTTCCTGGTCCTGATTTAGGGCTCTCTAAAGTTAAGAGACACTGGCCAGGCTTTATATCCAGATATGACCCAAGTTCAGCTTCATCCTCAGAGCTATCTTATGAGGCAGGTTATTCTTACTCCTAATTTTACGAGTGATGAAACAGGCAAAGTCTCTCACCTAAGAGATAAGAATTGTAAGGCTGTGATGATACCAAACATTTAAGTGCCTACTACTATTTACCCTTTACAGGTACTAGGTACTGTGCCCTTTATCGTCCCTCTTTCTCCTCTCCCTCCCCAGAGAATCCTGCTCCTCACCACTTTTTGGGAAAGGCTGGGTCTCCTTAGTCTGGAGCCGGATGCTCAGTGCTTCCTGGGCTGCTCCCAGAGATTCCTTCTTCTCCCATGGCTCTTCCTGTGCAGGTCCATGTGCAGGGCCTGGGACCTGGAGGTGATCAGGCACCACTCAGTTTTAAATTTTCTTCAAATTACTAGTGTGGTTTCTGTCCCCTGCCTGGACACTTGCAGATGTGACTCTCCTTGTACCAAAGCTTCCAAGAAGACTTTAGAGAGCCTCCTCGGAGTCAGCACAAGGGAAGGAAAAGGAGCTAGAGTCTCTTTCTCATTCAGGGCTCGAGGCCGGAAAAGACAGACACAGAAACACACATTAACTGCTCTACCTGGCCCAAGAGAGGTTTGACCTTGGCAACTGCCCCTACTGCTGCCCCTCTGTCCAGCCTGAAGTTCATTGATCTGGCTCCCATAACAGACCAAATCCCCCTTCCCACCTGCGGCTCTGGTTCAAGTCCTTTCTCTAAATCCTCCAGCACAGTCACAGCCTCCTCTCCACTCTTAGGGTGATGTCCCCGCACCCACGACTGGAGCTCCTCAGGCAGGATGGTCAAGAATTGTTCCAGCACCAGGAACTCCAGGATCTGCTCCTTCGTGTGTTTCTCTGGCCTTAGCCACTCACAGCAGAGTACCCGTAGCTGGCTCAAGGCCTCCCGGGGACCAGGAGTCTCCTGGTAGCGGAGATGCCTGAAGCGTTGGCGGAAGATCTCTTGACTGGTAGAGTGGTTCCCAGGTAGCCTGGTCTCATACTCACAAGACTCTTCCTCTTCCTTTGGTTCCATCATCATAATCTTCTCTTGTCCCCGTGTACCCTGAAGGGCCAGAGTTTCAGCTGCTGTTAGTGATACAGCCGTTCTAGTCTGGACTACCTCTGCAGAAGGCTCATACCAGCTGGAATATTGCAAGGGCCCCCTGTAACATAAGAAGAAATCATTCCTCCTCTTCTTTTTTTTTTTTTTTTTTTGAGACAGAGTCTCACTCTGTTACCCAGGCTGGAGTGTAGTGGCACGATCTCAGCTCACTGCAACCTCCACCCCCAGGGTTCTAGAGATTCTCCTACCTCAGCCTCCCGAGTAGCTGGGATCACAGGCGCCCACCACCACGCCCAGCTAATTTTTTTGTATTTTTAGTAGGGACAGGGTTTTGCCATATTGGCCAGGCTGGTCTTGAACTCCTGACCTCAGGTGATCCACCTGCCTCGGCCTCCCAAAGTGGTAGGATTACAGGCATGAGTCACCATGCCTGACCTCTTCTTTTTTTGATTCATTAAACATATACTCAGCACTACAAAGAGCCAAACTCTGTACTATATATACCCCTTAGTCCGGCTTTTTCTTCCACCCCTCCCGAGAATTCTGATGTACTAAGTCAATGCTTTTGAGAAACTTGCCTTGTTGTAGAGACGGGAAAGTAAAGTGGTTTTCTACAATACAACTAAATAAATGCCATTAACAGGAAAAAATATCAAGGAAAAAAAAGTTGTGGGGGCCTATGGGAAGAAATGATTATTGGGAAGAAACAAGTTTGAAGCAAAACCCAAGTTTCCAAATGCAGAGCCCAGAGCCCAGCAGCTTTCACTGCAAGGTGGGGTTTGCTGGGGAGGCTCCTCCCTGCTTTAAAAACTTTCTGAAGTAGCAGTTTCAGCAAAAGAAAAACGTTAAGTCCCCTCTACGGAGTCGGATCTCATTCAAACGCAGAAGCCCTATTAAGGGGCAGCTATGAACAAAACTCGGGTACAGTGACCTGCGTCAAGGAATGTAACAGGTGTAAACCACAAAAGCATCTGAGATAGGTCTCAACCAATTTAGGGGTTACTTTGCTAAGGTTGAGGATGCACCCAGGAAAAAGACACACAAGCCACAGTAAGATCCATGGCCCGCACTTTTACCACCGAGGGTTTTGAGGGCTTCAATTTAATGGGGAGAAAGCTGGCAAAGGAGGGGAAGGAGTAAAGAAGAGGGGGGGTATGTAGTGAGGTAAGTGGCCACATTCTTGTGAGGATTTGATTAGAGCTGAGTTCACCTGTTGCACGTGAAAAGAGGAAGTCAATTATGAATTTGTCTGGTGCTGAGTACATCTGCATTTTCCACAAGATAAAGTAGATCTAGAGTAGAGGAAGAAGTCAAATAGCTTCGTCTCCGGGTGGGTGGAGGAAGCATTTCTAGTCTTGTCCGGTGAAGCTGCGCTGTTCATTTACATTGCCAGGGTGAGGGAGGCCACCTGGGGGCATATGTTGCTTTCTATCTTGCAGCTATCGGTTTAGGGACAAAAGGAAAAGCAGTTTTTTTTCCGTGACTCAGTTTCCAAGCTTAACTTTTCCCTTTGGCATAGTAAGTTTGGGGTCCTGAGATTTTATTTTCCTTTCACACAGGGAAGGAGGTGGGACGCATCAGAGGCCACGAAAGGAGCACAAAGAGGGACCGCTGGCCGAAGACAAAGGAGGCGCGAAGAAAAACGCGGAGCTCGTGTCTCCCACCGTGATGCCCGGCGGCGCTGGCCCCAGCAAAACTTCTCTACCCCGGCCTGGGGCAGGTGCCCACCCGGGAGCGCGGGAAGGAGGCCGTCGTCCAGGCCAGGTACAACTCCCCCTCCCACCCTTCACTCCCTACCCAGGGGTCTCGAGAAAAGATTAGAAGGACATCAAGACCCCCCTCCACGGCACGTGACGCAACGCGAGGGCAGCGCAGCGCGGGCACCTTGGGCAACCCAAACCCCTCTCCACACACGCCCGCGGAGCTGCCTGCCAGGCCCGCTCAATGCACAGCCGCCGCTGCCTGCGGGACGGGCAAAAGCCAAGCCGCGAGGTGGACCTCGGGGAAGCCGCCGCCAACACTCACCTCACAGGACCAGGAGGTTCCATCGGGGCGCTGCCGCGAACCGCGCCACTTCCAGCCCTCACCCCCAGCTGCAGGTTTGCGCCTGCGCAGGTCGCAGCCTCGGCCTCCATCTCCCAGAAGCCTCCGCGCCGGCCGCTTCCGCTCGCGCACTTCGGCCCAGGCGCGTGGGCGCTGCCGAGAGGCTGGGAGCCGGGGAACCGGTTCCCGTACTGGAGCGGAGCGGGAAAGAGCGCGCCGCCTGCACGACTGGAATGGCGCGGCCACATGCCCTGGAGGACCCTGGGAATTGCAGTCCTTGCTCAGGTGGAGAGCGAGCCCTGTAAGCGGGTGACTTCACCAAGTTTGGCGGATGTCTTGTGGAGTTGTACCTGACAGGGCGGTGCTGGCGGACAGATGTCAGGGAAATTCTGGCCTTGTGCATGGTCTGTGGTAACACTTCTCCAGGAGTTCTATTTTCCAGTGACCACTTCCCAGACCTGATGAGAGGGTCACAGCTGAGGAAGACGGTCCCCTCCACGAAAAAAATATTCCCCAACCACTGGCCGGGTACGGGGAGGGGAGGAGAAAAAAGAATTCTAAGGTTGATTTTATTGCGATGGGGGAAATAGGAGTTGGTGTTTTTTTGTTTATTTTTAATTTAAAAAAAAAATTCTTTTTTTTTTTGAGACGCGGTGGCCAACATGGTGAAACCCTGTCTCTATTAAAAATACAAAAAGGCCGGGCGCGGTGGCTCAAGCCTGTAATACCAGCACTTTGGGAGGCCGAGACGGCCGGATCACGAGGTCAGGAGATCCAGACCATCCTGGCTAACATGGTGAAACCCCGTCTCTACTAAAAAATACAAAAAACTAGCCGGGCGAGGTGGCGGGCGCCTGTAGTCCCAGCTACTCGGGAGGCTGAGGCAGGAGAATGGCGTAAACCCGGGAGACGAAACTTGCAGTGAGCTGAGATCCGGCCACTGCACTCCAGCCGGGGAGACAGAGCGAGACTCCGTCTCAAAAAAAAAAAAAAAAAAAAACTAATTAAAATAAATTTATCTCACTATCAGATTTGCAGGATATTGATTGATCCAGTCTCTCAATACTTTTATGAAATAGTTTTTCTCTCAATACTTTTATAAAATAGCTTAATCCTAGTCTCTCCAGGAAAAATTGTTATTCAACTGTGTAGTTCTCAGATTATTAAATTTGTTTCTCCAAGAGATAGTATCCTTGAAAATGTGCATAACACCCCCGCTCCAAATCCTTGCAATTTACTTATACTGGGCCAAGCCCCTTCTGACATCAAGTAGGATCAGGAAGTGCAGAATCTTGTAATCCTCAAGGTCATGGTTGGGGGATATATTATCTTTTTTCCTTCAAAGTGCCATTGATAATTACTGCACGTAGGAGCTATGGAGAAAATTAGTTATCATTTGTTGAATGTCTACTGTGTGTCTAGAACTATGCTAGGAACTTAATGAAATCGTCTCATTTAGTCTTCACAGTTGCCCCACAAGGGACTATATTAATGTCATTATCTTGATTTTATAGATGAGAAAAACCAAGACTCAGAAACAATAAAAGTTACAGAGATGAAATTGACAGAGCCTGGATTTCGGTATGTCAGACTTCCATGTGCCATTATACTTTCAAATCCTACAGAATAGATTGAATCACAACTTCCACTTTTATGTGAAAGAAGACAATGGGTCTTAACGACTTACCATCAATTTCCCTTTCCTGATTTAATTAGCTGCTTCTGTGTCTAATTTTGCTAGGAATGGAGGAATAACGCAGACTCCCTAAACTACATATTGACATGTATACTAATGTGACAATCTCAAGTCCATTTGCAGACTTTTGGATTAGATTCTGTCCCAGAAAGACATCCACCCTAGAGTTCAGGGTATCATAGCCATTTTACTGTTCCCCTGGCACAATTCATAATAAGGAAAAAAAGACAAGGGGAAAGCTATTAGATTCCCAGTGCTGCTAAACAGGAGACACAAGGACACCGTTTTGTGATGATGATGGTGCTTTATGCAGCTTCCACCATTTACAAGATTTTCCTGTGGTGTGGAACCTCTGACGATAAAGGGGTGAAATGGAACTAGAAGCTTATTCCAGTCAAGATTTCTGATTTATCTTGTGGTAAGCATTTGGGGAGGACATATCTGCACATGACCTGAGACTAAGTAGTATACACTGAATCAAATGAAAATTAGCTCTTAGGAAGCTTAGAATTTTCCAAGCAGTTATCACAAAAAACAAACTCTCCTTCTCTCTTCCTATATGTACATACTGACATCTTTATCATTACTGTCTTCCTAGGGTTATGATTCTGTTTGGTTTCTTTGATGCTGTATTAGACCTGAGCTCTGATTGAAAATTCTTCCATGCTCACTACATTCCAAAACTTTATCTCCAATATGAATTTCCAGATGCCTCACAAGGTCTGAGCTCCATGTGAAGACTTTCCCATGCTTGTCACGTTCACAGGGCTTTCCTCCACTATGAATTCTATGATGTTGAATAAGGTCTGATTACAAGTCTTTGAACATTCGTTGCATTCATAAAGTTTCCACTGTGAATTCTTTGATGCTGAATAAGTTGTGAATTACCCCTCAAATCTTTCCCACACCCACTGCATTTATAAGACCTCTCACCTGTATGGATTCTCTGATGTTCTATAAGGACTGAGTTCTGGCCATGTGCAGTGGCTCACGCCTGTAATCCAAGCACTTTGAGAAGCCGAGGCCAGTGGATCACCTGAGGTCAAGAGTTCAAGACCAGCCTGGCCAACATGGTGACACCTTATCTCTACTAAAAATACAAAATTAGCCTGGCGTGGTGGTGGGCACCTGTAATCCCAGCTACTTGGGAGGCTGAGGCAGGAGAATAGCTTTAACCCGGGAGGTAGAAGTTACAGTGAGCTGAGATCACGCCACTGCACTCCAGCCTGGGCAACAGAGCAAGATTCCGTCTCCAAAAACACACAAAACTCAAAACGGAACAGATGCAGAAAAAATTCCAGAGAGATTTATTTGTGATGCCTGTTCAAAACTCAAGAAGCCACCACCCTGATACTCATCAAACCCTGGAGAAATTCCGTTTCTGGAGTGTCAGAAGGCCTCATGAATAACCTTCCATTCACTGAAGGTGGTCCTTACCCAGCAAGCCCCGGTCTCCTTCACTCTCCTGCACTCGTGCCTCGCAGATGGCCTCATGCGCGGACTGGCGGTCCAGCCTCCCAGGGGCAGGGCCTGGGCGCACCCCGCGCCGCCTTTGGCCACTGAGGCCCGGGTCCTCGAGGCGCCGGGCTAGGCAGAGCCTCCCGGGGCAGCGCCAGGGGATCCGGGCGGGGTGCGTGCGCCGGAAGGGCCTCAAAGCTGCAGGGCTGGACGGCGCTGGGGGCGCAAGGCACGGAGACCAGGCGGAGGGGACAGCTAGCGACTCACCGGGATGGGCGGGCCCGGGCTCCCAGCTCCAAATACGCGGCCTCTGTGGGAGCTTGTCTCCAGGCGCCCATCAGTCTTCTCCCTACTCGGCGCTACCTTGGCGGCCGTGCCCATGCCGTCCCCGCCCCAACTAGTAGTCATGATGAGGGGTCGCAGGCCTCACTCGAGATGCTCACTGCGAGGACTTTCCGCCTGCGGGCTGTCTGCGCGCCGTCACTGACTGCCCCGCTGCGGGCGGGCCGCCTCACCACTCCCGGCTTCACGGGGCTGGGGCGCGCACCATGGAGTCGAACCGAGTCCTCCTGCTTTCCTAGAAAAGCCGTGGGGGGAGAAGGGGAACACTTCTGGCCCACGTGAGCCACCGTCGCGCGTGGCGTCTGAGGGGCGTCTACCCGGAGTCACGGAGCCGACCAAAGGGAAAAGGCCAGTCCCTGTCCGGGAAGAGCTCAGCCTAGTGGGGCAGGCGACAAGTTCCACTTGCTACCTTGCCATGGCCGTGGCCCGTGGAGGCAGTAGACCGTCACCAGGAGTCGGTCAGGAAAGACGGGCGGATACGTGAGGCCTGGACAGGAAGGAATTGGGAGACACAAGACTGTGCCGCCGAGACCGCTTTCGAGTCGGGCTCACCGGGATTTTGAATTCGTTTCTTCGCTTACTAGTTGTGAGTCTTTGAGCAAATTTGCCTTTCTAAAGTGTAGTTTCTTATTTATAAAACAGGGTTAACAGTTGCACTCGCTGAGGTAAATGCAAGAGAAAATCGATGTTAAGTGCTTATCACGGTACCCAACACATACCAAGTACTAGAAAATAATGGAGCTAGGTACGGAGGGAGCAATCTTGACAGAGGGAACATCTCGTGGAATGGTCACAGGGCAGGAGGGCGGTGCCTGCATTCTTGGGGAACTGCAGAGAGTTCATGGGTAAATAATAGGAAGGAAAGGTAAGTACTTTGCAGAAACCCTTCCCCAACTAGGTCAGACTCCCCACTGTAGTATCATATGCCTCTCCTTTTAGGCACTTATTATGGTTGCAACTTTATTAATGATTCTAATTAGTTTCTCTTCTACAATTATAACCTCCATTGGTTTCTCTTCTGCAATTATAACCTCCGTCTGGCCAGAGACTTGTCCATTTATGCTCACCCTGCTTTGTAGCACCCAATGCTTAACACATATTAAAAGCTCGATAATGTTGGGCGAAGTGGCTCACGCCTCTAATCCCAGCACTTTGGGAGGCTGACGCGGGTGGATCACGAGGTCAGGAGTTCAAGACCAGCCTGACCAACATGGTGAAACACCCTCTCTACTAAAAATACAAAAATTAGCCGGGTGTGGTGGCACATGCCTGTAATCCCAGCTACTCAGTAGGCTGAAGCAGAAGAATCACTTGAACCCGGGAGGGAGGCAGAGGTTGCAGTGAGCCAAGATTGTACCACTGCACTCCAGCCTGGGTGACAGAGTGAGACTCTGTCTCAAAAAAAAAAAAAAAAAAAAAAAGTTCAGTAAATATTTATGGCACAAGTGGATAAATGGGGTTGCATCAGAATATGTATGTCACATTAAGGACTTTGGACTTCAGGCTGTAGTGGGAAATCACTGTGGAAATTCAGAGAGGGGGTGGCACTATCAGATTTGTTCTAAAGGAAGATCATTCCAGCTGCCCTGTAGAGAAGGGTTGGAATCAGGGAGGCATGTTAGGAGGCTGTGGTAATAGTACAAGCAAGAGATAATGGTGGCCTCACTCGAAGGGCATTAAAAATCAAGACAGGTGAGGCTGGGTGCAGTGGCTCACACCTGTAATCCCAGGACTTTGGGAGGCCAAGGCAGGCAGATAACCAGGAATTTGAGACCAGGCTGGCCAACATGGTGGAACGCTGTCTCTACCAAAACTACAAAAATTAGCTGGGTGTACCGGCTTGCACCTGTAATCCCAGCTCCTCAGGAGGCTGAGGCAGGAGAATCACTTGACCCGGGAGGCAGAGGTTGCAGTGGGCCAAGTTCATGCCACTGCACTCTAGCCTAGGCAACAGAGTGGGACTCCATCCCGGAAAAAAAAAAAAAGACAAGTGGACTATATTGGCAGATTATTGGCTAGCATTCACTTCTTCTACCATAGTCATGCACTCGCTCCATCAGGGATGGTAGTGACAGTCTTATTTCCTATTGATGCAGGATTTTTTTCCTTGATTCCTTCGTGGGACTCAGGATGGGGCACCCTGTTTACTCAGCCCACTGCGCTCAGCCTCTTGCAGGAGTGTGCAGGTAAGCAAGCGAGTGCAGGATCTGGCTGGCCACTACCAGCACCAGCACGAGCAAGCTCTATGCGGGGCCTGTGACCAGAGCAGGCATGAGCAAATGACTGCAGGATCTAGCTGGCTGCTCTGGGCAGCTTCAGGAGCAAGCTCCATTTGGGGTCTGTGGTGGTGCCCAAGTGGGGGTGCCTGTGACCCCAAAGCCCCAGAGGGAGTGTTACAGTGCTCTCTTAGTGCCACTGTTTGAGGATGGCTGTGTGTTAACAGCTCAGCTGGCCCCTAGCCTCATTGTGTGGGGTGGCTACCCGCCACCAGTGAGGGCAAAGAGCGGGTGTGACAGCCTTTTGGGTAGCCAAACTTGGTGGGTCCCGAGCTCTTGTCTGGCATACAAGAAGAATGAGGTTGTGTGGAACACTTGAAGGATGATGAAGGTGGAGAATTTTATAGAGTGGTCACAATGGCTCTCAGTGGAGAGGGGAGCTAGAGAGGGGATAGAAAGGGCCGGTCATCTTCTCCCCAAAGTCTGTCTATCTCTTCCCAAAAGTCTGGCCATCTCTCTCATCTACTGACTGAGTATGGGGTCTTTATAGGCACAGAATGAGGGTGGGGCGGCCATAGATAGTTTTGGAAAGGGCAACATTCAATTGGTAAGAAGACATTATTCAGAAAGAACCAACTAGGAGGGAGCAAGCAAAGAGGAATAGAAGTTCTTACTTTGGGCTGTGGGTTTCAGGCTTTTCGGCTCAAAGGTGGGGTTTCACTGGGGGCCTGTCACATCTGCTTAGAATGTCTCAACTTCCTGTCGTGCCTCTATCACTATGAAATATTTGTATGAAGAAACCTCTCCTAAGCCACATTCCAATCACCCCTCTTCCTCAAAGAGATTATCAGACTCTGACTTTCTCAGCTTTGGTCCTCTTGGAGTTTGGTTCTTTAGCTGTTTAAAATCTTATGAAGGCAAACTTTGATCATTTAGGCTCTTTTCTCAAAGTTCCAAAGTAGACGGCTCCTTAACAGGTAGGTTTTATTTTACAGAATTCAGGTTTACAAACTGGACACTACTACATTAGCTTCTGCTACCTATCAAAGCTTTGAATAGCTGGGCTTTTATTTCATGGATTATCTGATTATCTGAAGGTTAACTCTTTGTCCTCCTTCAGCCCCCACTGGACTGTAAATTCTTTGAACAATAACTGTCTTTCTTTGGCCCCATCTAATTATGGACCCTGGCACATACTAAACAGTCACTAAGTAATTCTTAAATAAGTTTTATTTCCACATTCACAGTTGAAAACATTCCGTAGTGTAACAAAAATTTCAATCTTTCAAAAGTCCAGTACCCTTAGTTTGATTCAAGCTCCATCAAAGATGAATTGGTTAGTTTTTAATCTGCAGTTTACAAGTAATAGTTCATATTTCAAAAAGCCTAACATAGGTGATAGGTTTGCCCACAAAAGGGATAAAAAGGCTAATGAAAATGTTTAATTATTTGCTTTGGGCTGGAATTTTAATACGTAGGTCTGCCTACATGGTGCCAGTCAGAAGCATGATTTGTGTTGTACATGCCTTTATGTAGCAAAATATAATTATTTAATAAATGCAGTTTGGTAAACATAATCTTTTAAAACACAGGACATAGGGGAGTAAAAAGAAGGCCTTGGTGATTAAAAAGTTGGAAACCACTGCATTAAATTACCTTCAAATCCCTTTAGGTATCCTGTTTATCCTTATAAACATTAGCTCTCACTGTACAGCATCATAAAGACAAGTAAAAGAGTTAGACTTTTTTTTTTTTTTTTTTTTGGGATGGAGTTTCACTCTTGTTGCCCAGGCTGGAGTGCAGTGGCGCGATCTTAGCTCACTGCAACCTCCACCTCCCAGATTCAAGTGATTCTCCTGTCTTAGTCTCCCAAGTAGCTGGGACTACAGGCATGCCCCACCATGCCCAGCTAATTTTTGTGTTTTTAGTAGAGACAGGGTTTTACTATGTTGGCCAGGCATAGTAACTCCTCGTGATCAACTCCTGACCTCGTGATCCACCCACCTCGGCCTCCCAAAGTGCTGGAATTACAGGTACGAGCCACCACACCTGGCCTACACTCCTTACTTTCACAGGGTTTTTTCCCACATTTAAACTTGTCACTCGACTAGGAAGTCAAGATTGAAATGGCTCTTTCCATGAATAATTTAGTTTTGGGGTTGTTGTCAAAGCGATTTATAATGATTTTAATAATGATAGACATCCCCTGACACATTGGTGCAGTGACTCATGCCTGTAATCCCAACCCTTTGAGAGGCTGAGGAGGGAGGACTGCTTGTGTCCAGGAGTTCAAGACCAGCCTGGGCAACATAGTGAGACCTCGTCTCTTTGTATTTTAAAAAAATAAATAATTTTAAAAATTGTATCATTGGGACCATATTCTAATGTCAATTCTGAGACAGAAAAAAAAAGGTGATTACGTTCAAGAGCTTTTAGCTTTTCCACTTGATTATACTTACATCTTTGAAAACTCCAGCAGGAATTTTCTATGCTTTCCCACCTTTACATGGTTTTCCTAATAAAACCCATCTGTAGTGCAGTAAGATGTGGTCTCCATCAGGCTTTTTGTAGTTTTACTATATTCATTAGGTTTCTGCTATCTATTAGAATAGGTCCTGTTTGTAGACTCTCACAGTCCTCAAATTCCTTTCCAATGTGAAGTTTCTGGTGTTTAAGAAAAGCTGTCCGCCCACTGAAGGCCTTACCACAGTTGCTACATTCAAAGGGTTTCTCTCTGGTATGAATTCTTTGATGACCGATAAGGTGTGAGTTCCGACTGAAGGCCTTCCCACATTCAGGGCATTCATAGGGTTTCTCTCCTGTATGAATACGATGGTGTCTAATAAGATCTGAGCTTCCCCTAAAAGATTTCCCACATTTGGTGCATACATCAGGTTTTTCTCCACTGTGAATTCTATGATGTCTCAGAAGGTCTGAGCTCTGATTGAAAGTTTTCCCACATTCTTTACATTCGTAGGGTTTCTCTCCTGTATGAGTTACCTGATGTCTGATGAAGTCTGAGCTGCCCTGGAAATTCCTACCACACTGATTACACCAATAAGCTTTCTCTTCCTGGTGAGTTCTCTGCTCTCTCCTAAGCTCCTCATCCTTGCTAAAGGTTTTCTCACATTCAAGTTTCTCTCCAGTATGCAATCTCTGATGTTTGTGGAAAGCCGTGCACCACATGAAGAGTTTCCCACATTCCTTACATTCATAGGGCTTCTCACCACTGTGAATTCTCTGATGTTGAATAAGGAGGGAACGCCACCTGAAAGCTTTCCTACATTCAGTGCACTGATAGGGCTTCTCTCCAGTATGGATTTTCTGGTGTGTAACAAGGTGTGATCTCTGGCTGAAGGATTTCCCACATTCACTACATTCATGAGGTTTCTCTCCAGTATGAACACGATGGTGTTTAATAAGATCTGAGCTACCCCTAAAAGATTTCCCACATTTGGTGCATACATAAGGTTTTTCTCCACTGTGAATTCTGTGATGTCTCACAAGGTGTGAGCTCCGATTGAAAGTTTTCCCACATTCTTTACATTCATACGGTTTCTCTCTTGTATGAGTTACCTGATGTCTGATGAGGTCTGAGCTGCCCTGGAAAGTCCTACCACACTGATTACACAAATAAACTTTCCTTTCCTGGTGAAGTCTCTGCTCTTCCCTAAGCTCCTCATCTTTGCTGAAGGTTTTCTCGGATTCTTCAAGTTTCTCTCTAGCATGCAGTCTCTGATGCTTGAGGAAACCTGTGGACCACATGAAGAGTTTCCCACATTCCTTACATTCATAGGGTTTCTCACCACTATGAATTCTCCGATGTTGAATAAGGAGGGAACACCGCCTGAAGGCACTCCCACATTCATTGCACTGATAGGGCTTCTCTCCAGTATGGATTTTCTGGTGTGTAGCAAGGTGTGACCTCTGGCTGAAGGATTTCCCACATTCACTACATTCATAGGGTTTCTCTCCAGTGTGAATACGATGGTGTTTAATAAGATCTGAGCTACCCCTAAAAGATTTCCCACATTTGGTGCATACATAAGGTTTTTCTCCACTGTGAATTCTATGATGTCTCAGAAGGTCTGAGCTCTGATTGAAAGTTTTCCCACATTCTTTACATTCATACGGTTTCTCTCCTGTATGAGTTACCTGATGTCTGATGAGGTCTGAGCTGCCCTGGAAATTCCTACCACACTGATTACACAAATAAGCTTTCTCTTCCTGGTGAGTTCTCTGCTCTTCCGTAAGCACTTCATCCTGCCTGAAGGTTTTCTCACAGTCAAGTTTCTCTCCAGCATGCAATCTCTGATGTTTGAGGAAAGCCATGTACCAAATGAAGAGTTTCCCACATTCCTTACATTCATAGGGCTTCTCACCACTGTGAATTCTCTGATGTTGAATAAGGAGGGAACGCCGTCTGAAGGCATTCCCACATTCATTGCACCGATAGGGCTTCTCTCCAGTATGGATTTTCTGGTGTGTAACAAGGTGTGACCGCTGGCTGAAGGCTTTCCCACATTCACTACATTCATGGGGTTTCTCTCCAGTATGAATACGATGGTGTCTAGTAAGATCTGAGATGCCCCTAAAAGATTTCCCACATTTGCTACATACACAAGGTTTTTCTCCACTGTGAATTCTATGATGTCTCAGAAGGTCTGAGCTCTGATTGAAAGTTTTCCCACATTCTTTACATTTATACAGTTTCTCTCCTGTATGAGTTACCTGATGTCTGATGAGGTCTGAGCTGCCCTGGAAATTCCTACCACAGTGCTTACACCAATAAGCTTTTTCTTCCTGGTGAAGTCTCTGCTCTTCTGTAAGCTCCTCATCCTTGCTGAAGGTTTTCTCACATTCTTCAAGTTTCTCTCCAGCATGCAGTCTCTGATGTTTGAGGAAAGCTGTGCGCCCACTGACGGTCTTCCCACGTTTGTGACATTCATAGGGTTTCTCTCCACTGTGGAGTCTCTGGTGTTCAGTAAGGTGAGAATGCTGCCTGAAGGCTTTTTCACATTCATTACACTTGAGGGGTTTCTCTCCAGTGTGAATTCTCTGATGTGTGACAAGGTGTGAACTTTGACTGAAGGCCTTCCCACATTTATTGCATAAATAAGGCTTCCCCACACTGTGGATTCTCTGGTGTAGGACAAGGTTTGAGCTTCCCTTAAAAGCCTTCCCACACTCTTTGCACTCATAGGGATTCCCGCCACTGTGAATTTGCTTATGTCTCACCAGATCAGAGCTCTGATTGAAGTCTTTTCCACATTCATGACATATGTAAGGTTTCTTTCCTGTATTAATTCTCTGATGTGTAAGATTTGAACTTTGATTAGAGTCTTTCCCACATTCATTACACACATATGGTTTATTTCCAGGATGAATTCTCTGATGTATTATCAGGTTTGAACTCCTGTTGAAGGTTTTTCCACATTCCTTACATTCATAGGTCTTATTTATATTATGAATTTTCTGATGTTGAGTTAATCCTGACTTATGTTTGAAGTTTTGGCCACTAACCTCATATCTATGGGAGCTTTCTCCTGCAGAAAGTATTTTTTCTCCTTCATTACATCCATGGCCAATCTCTCCCACAATGGCTTTCTTGGGGATAATACGCATTTCCCTGATACCTCTCTCTTGGGAAGGGAGATGTCTCACTGCATCCTTTAAAGGGCTTACCCAGTGCTTCAATAATCTGTCCTCAGAATTACTGGTTTCAACTAACTCACATTCCTGGGTGATCTGTCTTTGGAGTTTTTCGGATGCAGCCCTCGCTGACTCCTTTTCTTCAGAAATTTCCATCTTTGATTTTCGTTCGTTCATCTTATTTCTGTTTTCAGAATCTGAAATGATAAGTAGATCATTCTATGATTCCTAAAATACAAATATCACCTCTTCACTATGCTGGGCAGTCTAAGAGGGAGGAACAAAGAACTCAGAAGACCTTTCCCTGCCAAAGCTGAGATGTGGACTTCACTAGAGACACTGTGGCTATCACAGGAACCTGTGCTACCACATACCCTGTTGGTAAAGAAACCTGCCAGGGTGCAGGCTGGAGCTGGGCTGTGGGAGTGGCCTAAAGGGTGGTGAATTAATTCACTGGGGGAGGAGGGCAATCTGGAGTTGGTCCACAGGAAGTGGCCTGTTGGATGGGGGAGGAACTTGCTAGATGGTGTGGCTGGGCCTGAACTGGTTCACAGGAAGCAGCCCACTAGGGTAAGTGCCACCAGGCCTTCCACAAGTTGATCTGCTAGCAGCCACATCAGTAAATAATGAAAATCAACAAATGAAAATAGAACAGCACACTGGTACCAGGAAAATAAGTTAGTTTCTCTTCCTATGGCCATGCATTGTCCCTCCAGCATCCTCTGTTGACAAAGTCTAAATCTTGTACCAACTGGCAAAGGAAAAATGTTTACAGAATCCAGCTTTGTAACACAAGCAAACAAAGATGGTGGATTTGGAGTTGAGAGGCAATAAATTAATAACTAGCATACTGCTCGTTCCTCCCAATATACCATGATAGTTATGCAAATCTGTACTATGCCTCAGAATAAAAATAATTGGCTGTCATTTCAATAGAAATCAATTCTCTTTTTCTCAGACCTCACATTTTTCTTTCTGATATTCTGATGAAATTGCCTCTTTTTGTATGGCAATTTTATTTCTTCTGAAATTACAAGATAGATGAGCTTATTGCTTTTGAGTGTCCATGTTATCAAATCCCTGACCTTCCCCAGTGGATTAGTTCATTTTCATGTGGCTGATAAAGGCATACCTGAGACTGGAGAGAAAAAGAGGTTTAATTGGACTTATAGCTCCACATGGCTGGGAGGGCCTCAGGATCATGGTGGGAGGTGAAAGGCACATCTTACATGGCGGTGGCAAGAGAAAATGAGGAAGATGCAAAAGCAGAAACCCACGATGAAACCATCAGATCTCATGAGACTTATTCACTACCATGAGAATAGGGGGGAAACTGCCCCCATGATTCAAATTATCTCTCCCCATGTCCCTCCCACAAAATGTGGGATTTATGGGAGTACAATTCAAGATGAGATTTGAGTGGGGACACAGAGCCAAACCACATCATTCTGCCCCTGGCCCCTCCAAATCTTATGTCCTCACATTTCAAAATCAATCATGCCTTCCCAACACTCCCCCTAAGTCTTAACTCATTTCAGCATTAACCCAAAAATCCACAGTTCAAAGTCTCATCAGAAACAAGGCAAATCCCTTCTGCCTATGAGTCTGTAAAGTCCGAAGCAAGCTAGTTACTTCCTAGATACAATCGGTACAGGTATTGTTGGGTAAATACAGCTGTTCCAAATGGGAGAAATTGGCCAAAACAAAGGGGTTACAGGGCCCATGCAAGTTGAAATCCAGCAAGGCAGTCAAATTTTAAACCTCCAAAATGATCTCATTTGACTCCAGGTCTCACATCCAGGTCATGCTGGTGCAAAAAGTGGGTTCCCGTGGTCTTGGGCACCTCCACCCCTGTGGCTTTGCAGGGCACAGCCTCACTCCTGGCTGCCTTCACAGGCTGGTGTTGAGTGTCTGCGGCTTTTCCAGGCATATGGTGCAAACTGTAGGTGGATCTACCATTCTGGGGTCTGGAGGTCATTGGCCCTCTTCTCACAGCTCCACTAGAAGGTGCCCAAGCAGGGACTCTATATGGTGGCTCCAACCCCATATTTCCCTTCTGCAGTGCCCTAGCAGAGGTTCTCCATGAGATCCCTGCCCCTGCAGCAAACTTCTGGCTGGGCATCCAAGCGTTTCCATACATCTCTGAAATCCAGGTGGAAGTTCCCAAACCTCAGTTCTTGACTTCTGTGCACCTAAAGACAACACCATGTAGAAACTGCCAAGGCTTGGGGCTTGCACCCTGTGAAGCCACAGTTCGAGCTCTATCTACACTGGCCCCTTTCAGCCATGGCTGGAGTGGCTGGGATGCAGCACACCAGGTCCCTAGGCTGGACACAGCATGGGGACCCTGGGCCTGCCCCACAAAACCATTTTCTCCTAGGCCTCCAGGCCTGTGATGGGAGGGGGCTGCTGTGAAGACTTGTGATATGCCCTAGAGACATTTTCCCCATTGTCTTGGGGATTAACATTCAGCTTCTTGTTACTTATGCAAATTTCTGCAGCCTGATTGAATTTCTCCGCAGAAAATGGGTTTTTCTTTTTTATCACATTGTCAGGCTGCAAATTTTCTGAACTTTTATGCTCTGCTTCCCTCATAAAACTGAATCCCTTTAATAGGACCCAAGTCACATCTTGAATGTTTTGCTGCTTAGAAATTTCTTCCACCAGATACCCTAAATCATCTCTCTCAAGTTCAAAGTTCCACAAGTCTGTAGGGCAGCGGTAAAATGCCACCAGTGTCTTTGCTAAAACATAACAAGAGTCACCTCTGCTCCAGTTCCTGACAAGTTTCGCATCTCCATCTGAGACCACCTCAGGCTGGACCTTTTTGTCTATATTGCTGTTAGGCTTTTGGTCAAAGCCACTCAACAAGTGTGGGGAAAAGAAAGAGAGATCATACTGTTACTGTGTCTATACAGAAAGAAGTAGATATAAGAGACTCCATTTTGTTCTGTATTTGAGATGCTGTTAATCTGTAACCCTACCCCAACCCTGTCCTTGCAAGAGACATGTGCTGTGGTGACTCAAGGTTTAGCGGATTTTGGGCTGTGCAGGATGTGCTTTGTTCAACAAGTGCCTGAAGGCAGTATGCTTGTGAAAAGTCATCACCATTCTCTTAATCTCAAGTACCCAGGGACACATACACTGCGGAAGGTTGCAGGGACCTCTGCCTAGGAAAACCAGGTAGTGTCCAAGGTTTCTCCCCATGTGATAGTCTGAAATATGGCCTCATGGGAAGGGAAGGACCTAATGGTCCCTGGCCTGACACCCGTGAAGGGTCTGTGACTGAGGAGGATTAGTGTAAGAGGAAAGAAGGCCTCTGGGCAGTTGAGATAGAGAAAGGCATCTGTCTCCTGCGTGTCCCTGGGCAATGGAACCTCTGGGTGTAAAACCCGATTGTATGTTCTATTTACTGAGATAGGAGAAAACTGCCTTAGGGCTGAAGGTGGGACTTGCTAGTGGCAATGCTGCTCTTTATGCACTAAAAAGGTTTATGGAGATGTTTGCATATGCATATCAAGGCACAGCACTTTTCCTTAAACTTACCCATGTCACAGAGATCTTTATTCAAATGGCTTTCTGCTGACCTTCTCCCTACTATGATCCTATTGTTCTGCCACTTCATTTTTCTGAGATGGTAAAGATAATGATCGATAAATAATGAGGGAACTCAGAGACCAGTGCCGGTGCGGGTCCTCTGTATGCTGAGCGCCGGTCCCCTGGGCGCACTTTTTCTTTCTCTATACTTTGTCTGTGTCTCATTTCTTTTCTCAAGTCTCTTGTTCCACCTAATGTCCACAGGTGTGGAGGGGCAGGCCACCCCTTCAACAACTCTCTATGAAGTTCCAAACTTTCCCACATTTTCCTGTCTTCTTCTGAGCCCCCCATACTATTCCAGCCTTTGCCTGTTATGGAGCTCCAAAATTGCTTCCACATTTGGGTGTCTTTTCAGCAGCACCTCTGGAACCAATTTGCTATATTAGTCTGTTTTCACGCTGCTGATGAAGACATACCTGAGACTGGGAAAGAGGTTTAATTGAACTTACAGTTCTACATGGCTTGAGAGGCCTCAGAATTATGGCAGGAGGCAAAAGGCACTTCTTACATGGTGGCGGCAAGAGAAAGTGAGGAAGATGCAAAAACAGAAACCAATGATAAAACCATCAGGTCTCATGAGACTTGTTCACTACCACGAAAACAGTATGGGGGAAACCATCCCCATGATTCATATCATCTCCCACAACATGTGGGAATTACGGAAGTACAATTCAAGATGAGATTTGGGTGGGGACACAGAGCCAAACCGTATCAGTCAGTCACAAAAACACATTTCTGAGCTCCTTGGGAGCGTGGTCCTGCTGATAGGGACTCTAGTCATTAATCTTCTTGCAGTGAATAAGCAGCAACATGGCACAGTGATTAAGAGCATGGACTGAAGGGCAAACTGCCTGAGTTTGAAACCTGGCTCCACCACTTAATGATGGTGAGACCTCAGGCAAATCACAGAGCTCTCAGTGCCCCAGCTTCCTCATCTATAAAATGGACATAATGATAGTATTTACTTCATAGACTTGTTATGAGAATCAAACACATACAAATATACATAAAACATTTAGAACAGTGCTTTGCATATAGAAAGAACTATGCGTCAGCTGCCGTTATTACTATTATTATTAATATTTACCCTTTAAATATTAAGTAATATGTCCCTAGAACAAAAAAAGGCTGGATTTCCTTTTTTTTTTTTTTTTTTTTTTTAGAGATATGGTCTCACTATGTTGCCCAGGCTGGTCTCACACTCCTGGGGTCAGGCAGTCCTCCTGCCTTGGACTCCCAAAATGCTGGGATTGCAGGTGTGAGTCACTGCACCTGGCCTTGGATTTCATTTAAATACCATACCCTCTCCTGCAACTGAAAGACAGTGGGCTTACTGCTTTTGGGTGTCCATATTATCTAATCCCCAACCTTTATTATTGGAAAGAATTGGCTTTGTCATAATTTTCCCTTAAAGAGTATAGTGGTTTTTTTCCTTTTAGTTTGACATATATATATTTTTTCCAAAATTCAGAAGCAGATTACTATTTAAAAGATGGTAGATTAAAGGCTGTCCAATTTTTTTTTTTTTTAAGAAAAAACTTGTGATCTGAAGGGCTTTTATTGTGTCATACTGAACTCTTGAAAGCCAAAAGCTGAAGGA